GTAAGCAGTGCCGGCCCGAGGCAAGTTTTAGGATGGAGCGAGATCCTATTATGGCGCCCCCTTGGTCAGTAGCGTAGCGAACATAACTGGCGCTCGGGGCACGACACTTTAAAGCTGGTATACACGGTAAGGAAATCCTCAAAGGATGTGCTTAACAGACAAAAAAAACTCGGATATAACTGGCTGGATCGAACATAGTAATTTACAAAACTTATTAAAATATCTCCCAACGTATAAAGAATTATTTTTATTTAAAAATGGATAGATAGAAAAAAAAATCCCGGTTAATCCTCAAAGGATTTCCTTACCGTGTATACCAGCCTTTATTATTGGCGCCCCCTACAGAAACACATATAGTTTGTCTTGGAGACCCTTTGGGCGCCCCTCTGCGAGTGGCGCCCGGTGCTTGATACACCCCCTTGCACCCCTTCGCTACACCACTGCCCTTGGTTGCCCCAAATTTATACCCTTTAATTTTCTTTACCACTGAGGCGCCCCCTAGGACTTAGCGCCTGGAGCGGCTGCTCCTTTCGCCTTATGGTAGGGCCGGCTCTGTTGACTACAGTCGAGTTTCATTTTCGGTATATTTGGTTATAAAACTCTCATTAGCAGTAATGTGTTAAGTTTCACAACTGTTATAATTAAATAACCTCAGCTGTTAAAAAATATGCAAAAGCTTTCTGTTCAACCAATGTAACCTTTACTTATTAATTAAAGTCTAAGAGGAAGGTTGTAATATCTACAATTGAAATGAAAAAGAACTTATAGCGAAGCGTGCCCAAGTCAACGGGGTGCGGCCAATTTACATTTTATTATATAGTATTTACGTATTATTTTAATTTATTAGGATATTTAATTGTTATTTTCCCTTAATGTAATTTGCTGTTTAAGTTTATCGAAATGCATATTGTTTAGGGTTTAGAAATGGATTAATTCACTTTCCGTTATTTCTGATGAGAAAAACTGATTCGGACTTCGAACGTTCTCCTGGGAATATTAAGTTCGAAGTACGCGGTACCACTGTACTTATATTGACATAATCAAAATAGCAAACATAAGACATCAAAGGCTTGCACGAAAACATGCTACCACACACCGAGGAACCATACTACAAATACATACCTTAGATCAGTGTTTCCCAACGTGGGGCCCACGCCCCACAGGGGGGCAATTTGATAGTTAAGGGGGGCGATTTAAAAATGGACTCGACACGACTTTAACCCTTTCGCTTTGGGTTATTTAAATGCAATGCTAGATATCGGTGACAAATTTAACAAAAAAGGCAAATTCTTAAAAAAATGCTGTAAATAATTATTACCGTGTTTCCCCGAAAATAAGACAGTGTCTTATATTAATTTTTGCTCTTAAAGATGCGCTAGGTCTTATTTTAAGGGGATGTCTTATTTTTCCATGAAGAAGAATTCACATTTACTGTTGAACAAAAATTTCCCAAGTCTAACTTAAACGAGAGTGACGTATATCTGGTTGTGTCGTACTGAACTTACGAAGTTCCCGTGCTAGAGTGGACTTTCCACTCTCGCTTCAACTTAACCTTTTCATAGCGTCGACATTGGGCTCGATGACCAATTAGTGCTTACTGAACCGTAGCACTATGCAAATGTGATGGGGCGTGATTCCCGGCCGACCAATTAGCGATCACCAGCCGTAACGTTGTTCGCACCTAATTGGCCCAACTCAACTTCTGTAGTGTTTCACATCATTCAGTTGGTGTTGATTTGAAATAAGTGTCCGTCAATTAATCGTTGATTTAACAAATATATATAAGTGAAAAAAAATATCGGTAATGTATTATATACATTTAAATAAATATGTTTCTTTGCGTATACATTTACTCTGTCATATTGAATTAATTTTAACACATATTTTATTATATTGTTTTTTAATTGATTTTTTTAGCCCATAATAAAATGAGTGGAACAAACAAGAAAAAAACTCGTCAATATTCGGAGAAATATTTAAAATTTGAGTTCATACCCGCTGTTCACGATGAGCGGATGCCGTTTTCAATTTTAACACATATTTTATTATATTGTTTTTTAATTGATTTTTTTAGCCCATAATAAAATGAGTGGAACAAACAAGAAAAAAACTCGTCAATATTCGGAGAAATATTTAAAATTTGAGTTCATACCCGCTGTTCACGATGAGCGGATGCCGTTTTGTCTTTTATGCCAGCAATGCTTGACCAACGAATCAATGAAACGAGGTCATCTTGAGGCGCATTTGAAGGCGAAACATAGTGCTCATATAAATTCAGATTTGAGCACTTTAAAACTTTACAGGAAAAGTTTGAAAAAACAACAACATTACAGTCTCTATTTACTGCTCGTTCTTTAACAAATAATCGTCTTTCTGAGGCTAGTTATCAAATTTCTTTATTAATCGCTAAAACTGGAAAAAATCACACATAGGAGAGAATTTGATAAAACCGTCAATATCAGCATTTCTTAAAACGGTTCTGGAAAAAGATGACAAAGATGTAAAAGCTATGCCACTCAATACTGTTAGCAGAAGAATAGACGAAATGAGTGAAGATATTGAGAAACAACTTGTTGAAAAGCTGAGAACAAGAAATTTCTCAGTACAAATGGATGAATCAACTTTGAGAGACAGTGAGGCAGTATTGATAACCTATGTAAGATATATTGATGAAGGGCATTTTGCTGAAGAAATGTTGTTCTGTAAAAGATTAGAAAGCACCACTACCTCCAAAGATATATATAATAAGTTAAAAATCTACTTAGATGTCAATGATATACCAATGAAAAATATAACATCTTGTGCTGCAGATGGCGCCCCTAATATGATGGTCAAGAAAAATAGCTGCTTAAAATTGATGAAAGATGCGAATCCAGAAATGATTATTGTACATTGTGTTATTCATAAGTGTGAGGGACGAACAGACCCACAATAAAGTGTTATTTTAAATTTTAATTATTGGAAACTTTAATCGGTTAAATTCGAGCGTTTTATCAAGTTAGGCTAAAAGCCATAAAAATTATTTCCCACGGAGTTTGTTCCTTATTGAGTCGGATCCAGTTAGTCGGGGATGTGTCACCAGGAACTTTCGATGGAGAGCCCATATTGGACGCCAGACTCTTAACAACAACCACCTGACCTCATGGAAAAAACCCAAGAGGAATAAGAAGAGAAAAGAAAAAAGACTCCGAGGTCAGTTGTCATCCGAAGTCCCTCTACAAAAGTCGTCTTCAAAAAGTCCGCTCAACAAAGTTGTCCTCCCGAATTAAAATCGTGACCCAGGATTAAAACCCGAGAAAAAAAAATTGTGCTTGATTAAGCCTCTACACTCCTCCGTGCCTCCACACCAGTGAACGGACAAGATTCGGAACTAGTGGAAAGAACAGTCCATCGACAAGGTATTTATCAACCCGCGATTCGTTTGTAAACTCTCTCTCTCGACGGACCTCTCTTGAATAGGGGAACTATGACCGAAATTACCTCTCTTTGTATTTCCTTTAGTTTCATTAAAATTGTTAATTGTTAGCAACCATGGAATCCGATTAAGTTACTTCCTCACCTCTACTCCGAACCCAATCGCTCACCCGCAACCGCTCGCGTGACATAACGTCGCGATTTCCAAGTCCTCAGAGACATGGTGGTGTCAGATTTAGGTCTCCTGACGTGGTGTCAATGAGACACCAACCCTACGGTCACATAAGGAAAACTTGGTAGCTAAAAATATCTCGTCTGTTCTAAATGAAGTACTACATGCAGTAATAAAGTGTGTTAATGCTATTAAAGCTAGTGCCAAATGTGAGCGTCTTTTCAAGTTATTTTGTGAAGAACAAAATGAAGACCATGTGAGACTTTTACTTCATACTGAAGTAAGATGGCTATCCAAAGGAAACTGCTTGAAAAGATTTATGCAACTGTTTGATACTCTTAGTGATTTTTTAAGCGACAAACCTGAAATGAAGTATCTGTTAACAATCAATGGTAAAGCATTTGTAAGTTATTTAGCCGATATCTTTGAAAAACTAAATATATTAAATAAGCAACTTCAAGGACCAAATAAAACACTTGTCGATGCAAAAGCAAAGATATTTGGTTTCATTACCAATATAGAGTTATATCAGAAACATATTAACAACAAAAACTTTGAACAGTTTCATTGGCTCCAAAAATGTGAAGTAACTGATACTGCTTTACTTGTTATTGTCGATCATTTGAATATTCTATCCGCTGATTTAAAGAAAGATTTTCTGATTTAAAACAAATTGATTTCCCAACATGGATGATGCAGCCAATATTAGTGGATTTGTCTGATATATCAAATATGCAGTATCAAGAAGAACTCGCAGAATTGCAAAATGATGAATCAGTAAAAACTTTATTTAATATAAAAGGAGCGATGGCATGGCTTTGTGAAGAAACTGAAACTAAATACCCAAATGCAACCAAATGTGCAAGAAAACTTTTACTACCAGTTTCCATCTTCATATTTAGCTGAATGTGGATTTAGTGCTGTAAATGATTTACTGATAAAAAAAAGAAATCGACTTGATTATAACACAACGTGGAGACTTGAGATTAAAGCTAAGTAAATTGGAACCTAATATAAAATCTCTGTGCAGCAAGCATCAAGCACAAGGATCGCACTAAATGAATATAGAAAAATCAATATTAAAATTATTTTGAATTTCAGTTTTTCATTATATGTTTTGAAATTTTACTTACGATGTTTTGATAACAATTTTATAGTGATTTCTTCCTAAAACTTATCATTTATATTTCTTAAGGGAACAAAACAATTTTTAAAGGTTAAAAATTATGTATGGGGGACATAAAAATTTTAGAAATGTTAAGGTGGGGCATGGCCTAAAAAAGGTTGGGAAACATTGCCTTAGACTGTCATAGAAAACAACACACACAAAACGTTTACTACAACCCAGCCGTAGAGAAAAACAATTCGTTGATAAAAACAAAATCACATACATTAGACATATCTGCCAAACACCAATATTTTTGCATCATTTGATCCTGCAACTTGGAATTTAGTGTGTAGTGAACTTTGTGACTTTTTGACAATGCAAGTCCCGGATTCAACGAGGACAATTCAACGGAGACAGCTCCATCAACAGGAAGTCCACGTTACTCCAAGGTCAACGACTCACGTCGAAGATATCAACAGTGAACTTTGAAACTCTCTCCAAGTCAACTAATAGCCAGCATCAACAACTGATTCACCAACGGAACTGTGGCAGTAGGTCAACAATCTTCTTATGGCCAGTTATCATATTGTAAATCGCGTTGTGAATGCTAACTGCCCATGTAACGCATCAACAGTCGAAATTGTTATTGTCGGAAAATGTTTAGTCATCGGAACAATTTTTGTTATTGTCGGGAAATCCCATGCCAAAAGAGAGAGTATTCCAAAGTTAAAATTATACTCACAAGTATAATTTTAAAGAAAGTGGAAAATGATGTGAGCTCGTGGATTTTTACGGGCTTTTAAAAAAAATCCAAATTTTCTGTTAATTGTCTTCGGAAAGAACCCAAAGAATTTAACTAGATCGGATTTCACCGATTGTATAACGACTAGCTGAGGAAGTTTACAGTTAGGTGTGAAGAATGCACCATCATTGTCAACAAAAGTCAATCACGTGACAGTTTTCCCACGCTAATGATATAAAAGCTCGAATCTCCGGAAGGTCAGGGTGATTGCCCGCGCCCAATTCAAGTGGACTTATATGATAGCTCTGGACTTGGAGGGGGTGTACAACTCTGTGTGTCAATATGGGCTCCTGGAAAAGATGGCAACGTTGGGGATAAGCGGCAAGGCTTTACGATGGATGGAGTCCTTCCTAATTCAACGGTTGTTCAGGGTGCGATGGAGAGGTGTGGTTTCAGAACGTCACGACTTTGTGCAGGGGGTCCCACAGGAGAGCGTCTTGGCACCCCTGTTATTTACATGCTACATGGCCGATTTGTGGACGGTATTGCCGACCACGGTCAAGATGGTGGTGTATGCGGACGATATCTTCATAATAGCATCCAGTGCGAACCAGGCATGCGCGGTGAAGTATGCGCAGACGGCGCTGGATTTATTAGACTACTGAACGTCCACCTAGAGTCTTTCATTCTCGGCGAAGAAAAGCAGGGTGATGGACTTATCACCGAAAAAGACAAGGCCGGCGGTAATGTTGACTTTGGGCTCAGGTGTTATTCCCCAAAGGGAAGAGATGAGGATCCTGGGGGTCCATTTCCATCAAACATTCACTTGGAAGGTTCATGCAGACTATCTGCAGTTGAAGCTAACGCAGCAGGGATATTCTTAAAGTATTTCACCTCGAGACGAAATGGTGCCAGATGGGAGTGTATTCTGAGACTCACCAGGGTGGTGTTGTGCCCAATGGCAGAGTTTGGGGCCCCAGTGCTGGCGGGGGCACCGCGAACGACAATAAACCGGATCGAAAGGCTGATAAAGGAAGCATTGCGGACAGCCTTGGGAGTCCCAAGAACAACCCCTCTGAGGTCGATCTATGCCAAAACCAACTACATCCCACTGCAGGAACGGATAAGGATGAGGGTGTTACAGCACGGGATGGTTAACATCTCGAGAGGGAGGTATAGTCCGTTATACAGGATCCTGGCATTGAAGGTGGGTCTTTTATACTATAAATGGAGGCAAAACCAAATGCCGTATGTTGCCCGGCTGTATGAGGAAGCCAGCCGCACAAAACTTCCGCTCAACCAGATTTATAGACAACAGTCGGTGCCACCAGAAGTGGAGGATGTCAGGAGAAGATTGAGTCTGACAAACTATGGGGAGGTAGCAGGGCTCCTACCTGAAGCTTATAGGGCTCAATTCTGTTGGACGACGGATACTAAGTGGCCTAAGTGGGTACACCTGGGGGTGGACGCCTCTAAGACGGGGGGCCGGATGTCCATAGGGGTGGTGGTCCCGACGCAGGGGATTTCAGAGGTTTGGATGCTCCACGAGGCCTGCAGTGTGTTTGGGGCGGAGGCACAGGGTCTCCTGCCTCCTAAGGGTGATAACGCAGTTTCAGGAGCCGTGCACTGTCTTCTCGGATAGCTTGTCAGTACTCAATGCTGTTGCAAACGTGGGGTTTTCGTCCCCGGGGGCAATAATAGACCTGGTGGCGGGCATTGGAACAAGGAGGGCGGCCTGTGTGGCAGGATGGACCCCAGCGCGTACCGGGGTGCCACTTAACAAAGAAGCAGATAGGGTGGCGAGGTTCGGGGAACCCAATGGAACGATCTGGCGGACGTTACTGCCGAGGGACGTGGCACGGGTGGAAAGGGCTCGGGTTGTTCATAGGCTATTGGACTCTTGGTCAACAGATTTGAAGGGAAAGGGAAGGGACTATCTTCGTCTGTTTGTCAACTGGCACTATTAATACGCATCAAACAGGGGCATGGAGATGTTATTCGTGCGTTTGTGCACGGAAACGGCCCCTTTGAATGACTTTTTGCACTCCAGACGGCTACACAACACGCCTCAATGCCCTCACTGTATGGAGAGGGAAACGGTGGCGCACTACTGGCTCAAATGTCCGAAATATGAAATAGCCATCAGAGACCTGGGAGGAACAATTAAACAATAATAGCACACTGAGGGTGATCTATGCGCCGACAAGACAGATCAACCCCCGCCACCTAGTGGCGGCGTTAGAAGAATACATCACACGAACGAGGAGATTTAAGTGACGGAACTGGAGAGTCAGTGAATCGGAGAGAGAGCCTATAAAGACATATAAACAGACTATATAAAGACTATAAACAAATAAAGAAGAAGAAGCTCAGGGCAATTCGTCATAGGAAGTTGTACTTTGTGATAGTGCCCACCTCGACTCCCGAACCACCATATAGTGGACTTGATCCAGCTACAGAGAGAGGACATTGGCAAGAAGACACGGAAGACACTACACCCTTCCATACAGACGACATTCGCCAACTCACCCTTCCACCGAGAGGTATTTAGGGGTTAGAATTTGTAAAAGCGCTCTCTCTCGAACTAGAAATTAGGTCAGCGACATAGCTATGAAATTCGTCGCCAATTTCTGTAAATATTTTAATATAACCGCATTTAACCTTAGTAGTAAGTTCACCTCTTGTAGAGTTAGATTTAGTTATTCAATAAATGCTTTGTTGTTTTGTTAAACCTGTCTCCTGTCACTTAAGGACGCCTGCCGACTTACCGACGCACTCCCCACTCGATTTGCCTTCCTAGCCATCCGACCCCGAGATCGGGTTTTACCAGCCTGTGCAGAGTAAGTGGTCAATTGGGACTTAACCCGTGACCCAATGCATATCTCACATAAGCATAAAAATTTATAAGTCAAAGTTTGTCCCTCTCTAAGAGCAAAAATATGTTTAGATTTTCTCTATGATCAGTGTAGGCCTCAAGAAAGTAGGAAAAGTAGGGCAAGTCAAATGCATTAAAAAATTTATGGCAAGAAGTCAACATTTTATTGTCCTATGTAAAAAAGAGCCTTGTCATATTTTAATTTGAAATTTTTTTAAGTTTTTTATAAATGTTTACTAGAGTATTAAAATTCCTCTAAGTCACTGAATAACTTGGTCTCTGTGTTATTGTAATGCAAATAGAATTTCTGATGGTGGGACAAGATACTAGGTTTAAGTATTGATAGTTGAATTCACAAGTTAACCATCGTCTGTGCCAATAAGTATTGCATTCCGGAAATCTGCTTATTCTGATATCTCTCAAAGTTCTTGGGAACAACTTCAATGAGCAAATAATTCTCAATACTTGCATTTGAATATGTCCGTCTTTAGTTAGAATTGTATAAATCTTGATTAAGCCTAATATTAAAATTTTATTATTATAAAATTACTGTGAAACAAACCTGCTAAAATGAAGAAAATAATGCAATACTTCATAATTCTGGTACACGTGTTTTACTGTATAATAAAATTTCAGAAATTATAGTTTGTGAGAATAACTTTCAAAACATATATTTCTATTATTCAAGTAATTATTTAAAACTATATGAAAAGCCAACCAGATGGCAAGGAAGTTAAGGTGTTGGCCTACTGCCATGGGAGATATGAAACCAAATCTGGGTGATAAAAACAGCAGGAATTTTTTGGGGGTGGTCTGCCTTGGATATGTCAGACCCATCCCTCGCCACACAGCTGCCCCATTTTGGGTCTAGCTAAACCCAGTAGTGGGTTTGAAAAAAAAAACGGCATCAAAGCTCAGAATATATGAAATTAATTGTTATATTTAGTATTCTTACTGTAAAAATGAATATGGCAAGCTTCACTGTTTTATACTTTTAATTTATTAAATTAAAAACTTAAGTATCTCTCTGATATATTTAGATTAATGCCTTTATGTTCAAAAATTAAACAAACATGATGCTGAATATAAATAATAGTTTATTTTAAATATCTACATTATTGTATTAATATATAACTTTTTAAAGATTTAATGTGAACAAACTGCAACTAATTAATTGAAGTTAAATGGAATAGAATCTATGTCTGCAGGAATGAAAGTTTCACTTAAAAATTAGTATTTGAGTGAAATTAAACTACAAATAAGATTCGTTTGAAAATTAAGTTAATCCTGAACATTAATGTTCCTGTACAATAGTGCAATCTTTTAATTTAAAATTGTACAATGTATATACATATAATTTTTGTACAGTACATCTATTGATTCAACTTGCCATTGCAGAAGAAAATAATGAAGTGTAGAACTCGGGTTCTGATAATTTTAAATGATATTTGCTTACAATGTCTTGTATTTTTTGTCTTCGACGAACATGGGGAGGGGGACAGCTATAAATAAATTTTAGTTTTACAGATGGTCAAAGGGTTTCACCGCTATTAGTATTAAAAACCTACTTACTTCTCTGAATCTAATCGTTTTCTGCGGCACAAGTTCAGAGCTGTCTGCCTTACTAAAGTTCCCAGAGTACGTCTGCTCACTACCATACCGTCGACCAATGGAAGAGCAAGCGTCATACTATAAAAAAAATGTTTTCAGTAACTTGTTACATAATATTAATTTACTGTATAGAAAGCTCTAAAATTACTAACCGACCAACTGGACCTTGCATTTTAATGTGAAATAACCCACTCTGCAGTGCATGAATGAAAATAACATAAGAATCTTTCTCAGGACAGCGAGGTGTAAAAGCATTGGATTCTAATCCAGTTGTCGTGTACGGAAGCAAATCGGCTTAAAAAATATAATTATCAAGTATACAATTATATTTTGATCTTAATTGAACAAAATGTTGATCTTATGTAAAACTATTATTTTACATAAGATCAACATTTAATACTTACAAAGAGGAAAAGAAAGATAGTCATCCAAACTCTCTAGCCAAACAACAATAACCTTAGCTTCACAACCAATTGAGGTGCTTTGCTGACGTCCAAATTTGCGACCAGAACTTCTTCCACTCTGTAGATGAATATCTGGACATTCCAAATTAAGAGAGAGAGCCCTTGGTTTGGAAATATCTGACAAATGAGAGGGATCAGTGCCTTCATCTAATGATGTCATTCGCCTATCATTTTCTTTGGGTGATGTATCTGGTCTGACTGGAACTGTTAAATATATTATTATTTTTTAAAGTTTAATTCATACTTTTCATTTATTTTATTTATAACCTTTTATTCTTAATGTCACTTCTCCCAATGAATCATCATCATCATCTTTCAGTTCGTCGTTCAGATGAGATTTTGTTTTTGAAGGAACAACAAATGCAATTTCTGATAACACGTCTGACCAATATAACACTTGATGTTCTCCATTATATAAACTTCCGCCATGATCAGAAGGTATATCTAGCAATTATTTTAATCTTGATTTGAAATCTATGTACAAAAATAATTGAAAATAAAATTAAATACAGAAATTACCAAAATCTTCATTTGGCTTCTGAACTTTCCAAGCAGTAGATGTATGGCCAGTCCATCCGGCATGTTTAGATACATCAACTGGCCATCCCAAAGATAAAAGAAATTCCAAAAAGTGAGGATGAATATTTTGGTGACTTGTCTAAGAAATAAAAGTAATAAAAATTTTGATTCAAACTGCTTAAATTAAAATCTAAAAACTTACAACATTATCAAGAATTTCTTCAGCAGAAGCTTGTCCACTCCTCATATAAAATACAAACACTGTATCACTCGTTCGGGTAGATATCCTATCCAATATGTCCAACTGTTTGAAGAACCCCGATTGCTTCTGATCCAGAGCCATTAATGATGGCAATGGTTGTGTCAATGAATCCTTAAAATAAGTAATTATATCTATTAGCAAAATATATAGTGAATACTCTTTCAAAATATAAAAATACTTTTGTTTCACCTTTAAAGTCTCAAGAGATAGAAGTCCTAAGTGGGAGAGGAGGAGACGAGATGTTTGAAATTCTTGACAAATACTGGAAATTAATTATATTTTTGTAATTTATTTTATAAAATAATATATTTTATATTTGCTATATGAACTAAACATGTTGAATTTTTAAGTCAATTACCTCGGAGCTCTGCATTCAGTTTCGGGATTTGGATATTTTCTTTCACTTGCTTTGATCTGCCGCTCAACAGCTTCTTCAAAAGCAATTTGATTGTCAACAAGTTTTGAGAGCTTTTCATGTTCAACAGGATCTCCAATAACACTTTCAAGAGGTGGAATACTTTTATCTCTACAGATATAACAATTTAGATTAAATAATAAATTAACATGTGGAAAAAATATAATGATGCATATTTACGCTTTGGTAAGAGGTATCCTTTCTACACATTCTGGAAAATAGCGAGGACGTATCTTGTAATGAATTCCTAAATTATTCATTGGCAAAGGTCTTCCAGGATTTGTCATTTGCATTTTTGATCCAGACTAAAAATGTACAGTAGAAAATTAGCAAAAGAATTGTTATAAAATGCAATCTCTGTTTAAAAAAGACATAAGATGAATTTACTTTGTGACGAGGTAAATGGCGGAGTTGCATTGCCCAGGCATTCCTCCCAAATGGACCTCGAATCAATGCTGTTACAGTGGGCTGAGGGTCTTTTAAAAAATTTAATTTTTTTAATATTAAAATAATAGATTACTATTAGCAGCTTTTGAATTAATTTTCTAACTGAATATGATTGCATTTCTATATAATAGAAATATATTTTAAATTTTTAAATACTGTGTTTTCTCACTTCTAATGTTAAGTCTTTTCTTTTCTTTTTTTTTCTTTGAACTTTTCTTTTCTTATAAATTGGGGTGCACATTAGAATTGAAGTCAACCTATTTTGTAATGCAGCTTTGTTTGTGTCACCTTTTCTTCACTCTGCTTGGCAATTCACATATAGTACATTGTCAGCAAAAACAAGGTATACAAGTCCCTCCCACTATTTTAGTTTTGGAACAGTTTGGTGGAGTTTTGAACTACAGCAAGTTAAATGAATAATGTCTGGCAGATGAGTCTCCTATAAAGTTATGTTTAAGTAAAGTTATCCATTATGTCAAAGAATATGTACATAGACATTTTAGTTTGACACTATTAGGGGCAGTCAAATGAAAACGAGACAGACTATATAACAAGTGTGACACAGAAGTTGGTAATGCAGATAGATGTGTATATAGAAGTGCCCTCTATTGGGAATCAGGAAGGAACAGCGTAAATGTTCACCACTGTGCCATTTGTCTGTTAGACGTGCTCGAAGTGAGGTCGGCGAGTTGTGTGTGCATCCAATATCATTATGGAGGTCCACTGCTTGTTGACTTTCTGGAACACGGTGCCACAATTAACGCCAAGTGGTACATAGAAACTTTGCAAAAATTGAAGTGTGCCATCAAATCCAAACACCCAGGAATGTTAACAGACAGCATCATTCTGTTGCAGGATAATGACCACCCACATGTTACCAAGGTTGTTTTGACTATGCTGCAGAAGTTTCGCTGGGAACTTCTGCAGCATAGTCCATACACATCCTCCATACAGTCCTGATTTCTCCCCATGCAATTTCCATATTTTTGGAGCCCCGAAGAAAGACATTTGTGGATGTCAATTTGCTTCGGACGAAACGGTGGACACCTGGGTACAATCATGGTTCCGTAGCAACCGCAAACATTTTTCTATGAAGGCATTGACCATCTTATCTCACAGTGGGATAAATGTATTAACAGTTATGGCAATTACTTTTTAAATAATAAACAGTTTACTTACTTTTTTCCCCATCTGTCTTGTTTTCATTTGACTGCCCCTAATACATATCTGGTTAATTTCTTATTTGTGCATAATGACATGAATCTCACTCTTAAAATGTTGACTGTACAGTAATTTTGTCTATGATTTTATATTGGTCTGCAGATCCTCTGATAATGTAGTCATCAGAAAGCACTGTAGACATGAATTTAAAACACTTTCCAAAAATGTGTTTATTACTGTCTAAATACATGAACTTTTCTAAGGCTGGGTTTTCAGTGATATAGGGCATGCATTACATGTACAAGCTTACTTTTTTCAAATTTTGATGTCTTAAAAATCTGATGTGCATTAGATTTGAAAGCACATTAGAATTGAGAAAATACAGTAATTCATTTGCCAAAAATTACTGATTCAAAAATGTTATAAAGTCTACTGATGAGTAGATAAATTTAGTACAATAATAAACTATTACCATTTACTGTTAAAATTAATCACTTTAATTTATTTAAAAATTCAAATTATTTGAAGTCTAAAAAAACTTTTCAAATGCAACAAGGAAATTATATATAAAGAACAATTTTGACTTCTATAGATAAATCAGACACATATACACACAATATGTGAATTTACAAAATTAATTTAAATTTAAACCATACAAGTCGATTTTTATAGAAGTATAACCTCAAAATAGCTTTGAAAAATTCAAAATTGTTTATTATGTAAAATTTTCTTGCTAGATTTTAAAGGATTTGGGAAATTTTTTTATAGTACCTCACTTATGTGACCACCTCAGAGGGGTTATGAAAAAATTGGCATACAGAACTATAGTTAGAGTACCATACTGAATCATGCTAAAAATTACATGATTATAAAAGTAGACAGAAAATAAAATGGAAAATTCACATAATACTGCAAATCCTTCACAATATACATTACCGGTAATTCAAACTTTCATACGGGGTATTAGCACTGAATAGGGCATTGAAATACAGAATACATATACTGTACAGTAAATGTTAGCTGTTTACAGTATATTACATTTCAATACCCTAATGAAAATAATATTGTTTGTGAAATAATAGTACAGTTTTTACTTAAATACTATCATTTAATAGGAGAATTTAGAAGAAAATTATTAACTGGAAGTCACTAAATGTGCAGAAGTGTCCAATAATTAGACCAGCTTTTACATCAGGTTCATTGATATTTTTCTTTGTCGAGTGTTGCAAGTGACGTACTCAGTGAAGTAGATGGATTGTCACTGATTTACATAGTTGCATTTTTATAAAATACAATCAGATTTTGTATAAAATTATTAAACAAATATATGATTGCTGTCTTCTTACTAAATACTAGGGATGAATTAATTTGTCAAGTGTAAGTGAACATTTATTTCATTTGACTGTAATCTGTTGAAAGGATCACAGCAAACTGCTCCAAAACTATAGCAACAAAACTAAATTCCATTTAAATGCTTTAAAGAATATTTTGAGTTTAAGAACACATGAGTTCTTTTTCTGTTGTCCATGTAAATGGAGAAAAATGTTACTTTTGGACAATCCTATCTAGCCACTTAAGTGAGGTGACCATCAATATGCAGTTTGATTTATATTAAAACTTATGTAGTTTTACAGAGGAATTTCAGGAATGGCAACATAAGCAAAGTGGCCACAAAGTGAAGTTTTACTACATTTTATATCAAAATTTCCTAAAATAATACAAAACTAAATCATATTACAGTAGATACTTATACTAAATAGAATTAGTATAAACTAAAAGCAGTCAAACATCTTTATTGCAATCATTTAGCATATCATCATCACAAGATCTGATTTTGGTTTTACTGTTACAAATCAATCCACTAGCACCATAAGTTCAATAAATTCAGGTATATTCTTTGCTTCTGGTAGCATATGAAATAACTGCATGTATATGGCATCACAAATATTTTGATAACATGATAAGACAATAAATAAATGGAACAAATATACAAGAGAGTAAACTTTTCCTTATCCTCAGATATTACAAATTATATCCTACTCTTATTTTAAGAAATACAAAGATCTGATTGTTGGTATTAAATTAGACCATTAATCCAATTTGACATTTGTAATTTTTTACAATTTTGTTTAATTTTTTATTTAACAAATTTTAGTTTGACCAGTTCATAAATTCAAAACTGAAATTAGCAACAAAAACTAAGCAATAAAAAAGTTTGCAGAATTATTTAATGTAATTCAATCTAAAAATAATGCAGATATAAAGGAATATTTTTGAAAGGTTAAATAAAAATAATTACCATATTCCATGTATCATAATTTTTGCTTTCATGTATTAAATTTAGGAAGGAAAAAATATTTAAATAATCTTTAGATAAAATGATATGAAATATATTAAAATAACAGTCATTGATATGTTTCTAAAATCAGACTACAAATGTTTAATTAAATTTCTTCAAATGTATAGGGAAAGCTTTCAAGATTTATTAATTATTTCAAAGCTAAATTATGATTTTGCTATTTTCTTTTTATAAATTTAAATCTAAAATATATATTTACTTACTTAATCAATCCAAATTATACAAATATGTGTTTTTAAAAAGCAGCATGCAAAAAAAATAAATGCACATGTTTTGCTAAGAATTATTGCTTATCTTATCATTTTCAAAAGATCTTTAAACTGAAGTTTATTCAGTGCAGCATATAGAATGTTTATCAATATCTAATTTTATGAAAAACAAAGAAAATAATTTTATTCTAACCTTGATCATTTCCTAAATGCTCTTCTAGAAGTGCCAAAATTATGGAATTATCTGTTACAAAATATCGGAAATGCTCGATGGCATTCTCGGGTGAAAGATTACTTCCGTTCCAACTGTTACAATATTGCAACAGTGTTTTCTCATCTAACAATGATGAAAGTGTTTCAGAGCCGTATGGAGGAGGAAAATAACCCTATAAAAGAATAAATAAAATTAGAATATATATCAAATATATAATTTTATGAAATATAATACAATTATATTAAATAATAATAATAAAATTAATATCATTCTTTTCTGGATATTACAACAATAGAAAAATACAGTAGAGCGTCGTTTATCCGAATCAATTGGAGACTGGGGTTGTTCGGATAACTTATTTTTCGGATAACCGATTATGTATGAAAAAATATATTAACCTATCCTGTGTTGAAATTTTTCTCCGTTGCGTGTCGCTTCACGTTGAATTTTTGTCGATGTTAAGCCTAACGTAAACTTTTTAAAATAATAATCATGACTATTGTATCATTAAAAATTATTTCTTTATTTTGTACAAACAAAATAAATATATTAAAAAATATAAAACAATAAAAAATTATACTTCAGAACTTAATTTAGTATCATAAACGTAAAATATTTGCGTAGCCCAAGACATAGCCAAAGATTGCAGTGCCACAGCACTAGCGAAAATTTAAATTTGCCAACTGGAATTCTTTCGGATAAACGACGCTCTACTGTATATTCTATATTGTAAATTTATGGCAAATGTAATCTATTCTAATACAAAACTTGAAAATGGTTTAAATTATAGTAGTAGCATGGAAATGCACCACCTATAATACACACTGAAAAGCATTCAACAAAGTAGTATATTTAAGTTAGAATTGCGATTTTTAATAAAGAAGAAGAAACCAAAGCATGCTATTTATTAAATATAATGTTAGTGAGCCTTAGCAAGTGTTATTTTATACCACAGCCTCACCATACTGTTAATGAGTACTATTGCAAGAACTTGCTGTCCACAGTTATGAAAGTAAAAAACATGACAGCATAAGTAGGCCTGATAAACATAATATGAATTATTCCTTGTTGAATGAGCTTCTGATATTTCATAGGGCCACCTCAAGCCTTAACAGCTTTGCTGCACTTGTCACAGACAGACGAGTTTCTTCAAATATTCTATACCAAGATTGTGATACCAAACTCTTCTAATACTCCTATAGTTGCTGTTTATTTTTAGGCCATGTCTCAACAATTTTTATGTTCATAATATGTCAGCAGTACTAAATAGGGTTGTGGTTAGAACTGTTACCTGGATGACTTAAGCATTTGATTTGGGCTTCTTGTAGGAAATTTTTTACCTTCACAATAATTTGTTTGTCAGTATATATGACAATAATGATAATAAACCATAGAGAAAAGACACATTTTACTTTGCTCACTATCTTGGTGCAGTGATATCCATGAAGATGCAGTATTTCATGTCATGAAATTGTTCCTTGGTTGTTAGAATTAGCTTGGTAGATAAGATATTTTTGTAGCACAATGCATGAACAGACCCCATTTATAAAGTTTAGTCTGCTGACATCATTATTGGATATCCATCCCCACAATATTTGACTTACTGGAAATTTTACTATTTGCATCAAGCAATCCCTATTATAGACATCACCTTTTCTATATCTAACACAGGATAAGCTGTCAGATTCATGCTGGTTAAATTTGGATTAATCTTAAAACATGACAAAATCTTAAATGTCAACATTCTAATCTAATTACATGCTGTTTAACCCAGATAAGCTGCTGTATAAGCTGTATGCATTTTACTTGTCAGTAATAGCTTCTTATATGAATGGTAGATTTTAAACCCATACTACACAGATGGCATTATACAGTTCGAGCACTCAGTGCTCTTCCCACTTTACTTTCAGTTCAGAACTCAATGTATGTTCTCACAAGTAGAGATTTTTCAGTCTCCTATCCTGGTACAGTGTACTCATGTATTTTCTGTCTAATCCAGCTTTTCTTTCAATGTTGCAATGCTCATATCTGCTGTTTAACAAATGCACAACTGTTGATTTCATTAAGTTGACATGCTGATTAATTTCATTAAATTAAGGGATAAACCTTCAGCATTCATAGCAAAATTGAGGATTTTTTATACTATTAACTGTCAAAATATTCCATTTTCCTTATAAAAGCTATTTATCTTTGCATTGACCATTAGTATAAAAACCTGTGCAATTAGTAGAAACATTGCTGCAGTAGACTGTCAGCCAATGAAAAGCATTCTCATCTTTCTGATGTCATGAACAGTTCAACCTTTACAGTTTCTAGCATACATTTTCAGCTTAATGAGACTTTATTTTTTAAATTAAACATATTTTTATAGAATTATATGGGTGATGCAATTCTCATGGCCACTACCATAGATCAAAAATACTATTCTATATCTATAGTAAACTCATATGATGGTAAGAAGATATTAACTTTTATTTTGAACATTTATCAATTATTTCTTTATCCAGATTTTGTGACAATGGCAAATTCTACAAGAAAATAGTACTCAAACAAACCCTAATGACAGAAAAATTAGAATTATTGTCACAATGCAAATTAAATTACTCCAGATCCTGCTGTTATATCATTTTTTATGAATATAATTGCAATGAAGAAAAATTTTGTTTTCTCTACTGCTATAAAAATATTATATAATTTATGTATTAAATAACATCATATTTTTGTTGAATGATAGACATGTTTCATAATACAGGAGACCAGCATGCCAGAAACCTGTGTTATTGGTATGCCTATTAAACCATGACTAAAATATAAAATTAATCAGATGTAACAAAACTAATTGTTAATTAAACATTAAAGAAAACATTCCTCCAAGTACAATAAAATAATAACATTGTAATTTGAGTGACTTAAAATCAGGAAGAATTTATCTTCTTGATTTTAAGTCACTCAAATTACAATGTTACTCAAATGAAAAATCAGGAAGATTCATTTATAAGACAATAAAACACTTACAACTAATTGGCAGTAGTAGTAGTAACAGTAATAATAGTTAGTCAATGTAGTCTACACTGACCATCTATCCTGATCTTAAACACCTTCCTCTCAAATTTCACACAAAGTATGTTAATTGGTGTAAGCTGAGATAATTTAAAGAGTGTTTCTTAAATTCAATATCTTTATTTTTCTGTTTTTGAATCAAATAACAATAAAATACACATAAAAAAAGCACTTTTGGAATTCCAGGAGTATTTTACATTGTTAGAAAGAAGACAAAATGAAGAAATTAAACATATAATCATAGTTTTTGATGTAATGCTAACAGTTTCTCAGTTTTAGAATAAAAACTTGTTTGTTTTTTAATGTTCTCTCTAGAGAGGGATGTATCAATATAACCTCACTTAAACCAGCATGCCAGTTTTTACTAGATGGAAATATCTGATTTCCTGATTTCCCCAGATAGACTGGCATGCCAGTAAATCTGTAGTATGTTGTATCAGATTTAACTATTTTTTTCTATAAAAATAATACAACTGAATTGAAATAATGCATACCACATGATCTAACATGCAAACTAAAACAGATTCAGCTGCATCTTTAACTCTCATAGATACTGGTTTCAATTCTTTCTCTCCTTTAAGTCTTGGTGGTTCTGGTAACTTATTTTGTAAAGCCAAAGAATGTGGAATATCAATCTAAAAAATTAATTAAAATAAAAATTTTTTTATTTAGTAATTTTCATAATTTCAGGAAGAAAAACACCTTATACGTACCATAGATTTTGAACCTGATATACCTAATTCAACTACTTCTAATACAATTCGTACACAGTCTTTATTTTCTAAAAGATCAGGATGTTCAAGTAGCCATGTGGTTACACACTGATATGCAGCTACTATAGTTGAATGTAAATCTTTGGAGTGAGCAGGTGGTGGACGTGAGCATTGGTAAACTATATAATCACAGATCCATTTGACGGCTTTCTGACACACTTGAGAATCTGAAAATGTTAACAGATTCTAAGTTTTATTAGAAAATTATCTAATACTTAAAATAATCTTCACTAATTCTTTAAGAAAAATATAATAGTATAAAATATCTTACCTGCAATAATCTGGACTGTTTTTCCAAATAAAAATAAATAAAGTACATTAAATAAATTTTAATAAAATATAAAGTATAAGTAATTATGCTAGGTGATCAAATGAGAAGTTTGCTCTCGAGAAACAAATCTGCCAAATCACTGGGCCATTTTTGGGCTACGTTGGGTAGCATAATTAGCAATGCATCTACATGGTAAGCAGAAGTTGCGGGATTGAATTCTTCTGGAAATTTCTAAATTAAAAATTAATTTTCAATTATTAAAATTAATATGAGATGGCAGCATATCCATCTACCTTCAGTCAAATTAATTAGTAACTTATCATTAACATAGCCAAAAATAGTCCACTAATTTGGCATTAATTAAATTGGGTTATGAGTTGTCATAACAACATATGTGCCAATTGAGTTTATTATCATGCCACTATGTCATGAGAAATACTTAAATTTTGGCATTTATTTACTACAGACTCAAGGAATAACATATGAAATTCTAAATAAAAAGCCTTTGACACATGATGAGTCAGTTGGGTACATTAACTTTTGCTGTTACCAAATCCATTCCTGGCAAGTAAACTTTACATTCGATAACCCAGTACATCTGTAGAAAATAATTCTAAATTTACTTTCTAAAGGTAGATGAATCCGTGCTAATCCCGATAACACTTCCAATGCAGCTAAAGAAACATTAAGATCGGCTTTCCACGAAGAAATCAAACGATGACAAACCAAATATGTTGCACGCATAAACAATGCATGGGCCGAATCTATAATTAACAAATATAAAAAATTATGCATTATAATATAAGAAATTATAAATAACATATTTTTAAAAGATTAATTAAAAAATTTTTTATTGATATTAATTTTACAGAGTCATACTTAATTTAATCATTAATTTATTTTGAGAAATTAAATAAATTATAAAAATTCTTTAGAATAAACACATACAAAATAAAATCTTTAATAGATTTCAAGTTGCCAATGATAATATTTGTTATACAAAATGTTAATTATTAATTCATCATTAATGTAATAAATAATATTTGTTAGTATTTTAATATATTCATGCTTAAGAACATACATGCAAAATTCTTATTATTATTCCTAGGAAAATTGAAAGAAGAGAGGATTTATTTGATTTTACAAAGTCATGCCCCATCACCACAAAACTTCATAAATAGAAAGACCTGCACTGAAAGGAAAGTTATGAACGTGAATTAACATTTATTCCAGAATAATTTTATATATATATATTACAGAAAATTTTCCAACCAGAAACGTTTTCAGATAAGAGAAGAGATAAGATAAACGGTATTAGTGCAAAATTGAAAAAATGTCAACAGTAGTGTTAGTTTCCAAGGATAATGCTGGAAAACAATCAATTACCAGCAGATATTTGTTCACTTTGCTCATCCAAACTAGGATTGAAGACTGCATCAATTATAGATGTATCAGATATAGAACCTTGTCTAGACGTAGAACCTTCACTTACTTCTGGATGATCTACTAATAGTGAGAAAGGTCTTAAAAGCAACCTACAATGATTTATTCTAAGGCACTCTGGCAAAGCACACTAATGTTAATTTCTATGCAGATAATATAAATTATTTACTTTCAACATTAAATATACATAAATAAATTAAATATTAAAATACTATTTTTATTAATTTATTAAATTTAGAAATGCTTTAGTTAGAATTAACTTACAATTTCAATATATTAGACTGGAGAATTTTATATATTTTTTATAAATTACTTTTTAATGTATAACATATCTAATATTTTCTTCTAATCATTCCAAAATCCTAATAAATATTATATAAATATAAAAATTAATAATGAATTCCTAAAAATAATAAAATATATCAAATTATCAAAATTTATTAAGTATAAGTTTATTAAAGAATGGTTCCTATGTTATAAACATCTCTGTATAAACCAGAATTTGTATCTGTGATTCAAATCCTGGTTTATACAGAGATGCTTATAATGTTTATATAAGATCTTTAGGTTTGGTTAATGGAAGCTTTCAATTATTGCTGATTGTCAAAAACCCAGACTTCAACCAAAATAACACAATTTTTTGTTGTATACAGTCGACCCCCCTATAATTACGGTCCCTATAATTACGATTCCTATAAAACTACGAAAAAATTGTGACCAGTATCCGTAAAAAACAGTAAAAATTCCCTATAATTACCTCAAACGTTATCGGGCAGCTGAACTACTTTCCCACCGTCCGTAGCGCCACGCTACGGAGAGATTTCTATCGTCTGGACAGTATTATATAAATTATATATAAATTAGGTACTGTACATATAATTATATATTAATTATATATAAATTAGGTACTGTATATATAATTATATATTAACTTATTGTAACTTTGTTATAATTAAATATATAATTTCCGCCGTCTAGCGTGGCGCCACGCTACGGAGATTTTTACGCTAACTATCGTCTGTCAGTATGTAAATTAGGTACCGTAAGTCTAATACAGTACTGTAATTTTATACATTTCTTGTGAAAGAAACATTTCTTATTCAACGGCGATTAAAATTATTTATATTAATGATGTCTCCGAAGTTCTACGAAGTTTTCACAGAAAAATAAGTTGTTAGAAATCGGCCGCTCTTTGCTGAGCTGTTCCGCGACGAAAACAATGTTGAGCAATGGCAATGTCGAATGGTGACACTCGGTAAGTAATCCTACAATTTTTTGTTTATAGCGTAGTTTATACGGATTATTCCCAAAAAATATATACGTATTTTGGAAATGTTGAGTCGGATTAGTCTAGAATCAATTAATTTTATGGAAGAAAATCTTTCAAACAGCCGTAGTCTGTAAACTTGATACGTGTCGGGTTGTGATTGGAAGGATTCGTAAGAAATCGGATTCCTAAAGAATGGAACGTATCTCTATCTTATAGGGGGGTCGACTGTATATATAATTGATCATTATCATTCAATAATTGTCAACTGTTATTTGAGAACATCTCATTTTACATGTTCATGACACTGAAAGAGAAGCTTTCCATGATGTTTTGGCCTCCCAACCGTATGCTACCAACTTTAATATAACAATTAACCTGTAACCCGGTCCTATAATGGAAGTCGTCGCCAGCTCCTTAATCACGTTTGTGCTGTGAATCCTGATAGGACTAACTTCATTGCCAAAACCCAGGACAATTCTAGATTTCACCTCTACTCCCAGGACATCTGCCAGCAGATCAACCAAACTTCAGGTATTTACATCTATGTGCAATATCCTGTAAACTCTCTTGCAACCACCTATGGTGTCTAGGTCAGTTATTTCCATTTAGTACAATGTATAGATCATGTAAACCTTTTTCATTTTCAAATAAACAGTTATTAGTTGTTAAACTGGCATCTGAGTGATTCACTTCCAACTCACCATCCCTCAGATCTTCTCCATCCTGAATCTGTTCTTGTGACCTAGCAGCAATAACATGGACATTAAATAAAAACAGCCCTAGTTGCTGTGCAGTGTCTTCTAGCCTGACGTAGTCATCACTGAAGCAATGTTGACCTTTCAGTCAAGTGGTGCAGAAGCATGTGGGATGCTTCGTACATTGTCACAAATGTCATATTTGGTATCTATGATATTTGGAGATGAATTTCTAAATATGTAAAATTTTAAAAATCTCATGAAATTTTAATAATTTCATGAGATTTTTTTTATGTAAGATTTTTTTTAGATAATTTCATGAGATTTTTAAAATTTTACATATTTTAGAAATTTATGTCCAAACTATTATAGGTATTAAGATAAAAATCAACATCTTAACTTACTCTAGCAAGTACTATTTAATGTACAAAATTGCTTTTGACCCAATTTGTGGATCATTGTCAGTTGTATAACATAAAACAGTAACAGCACATACAAAATTTAAATGAAGGAAATCCAAAAATATAATTTCTAAAAATATAAGATTATCTTTAGATAAAATAAATGAGTAAATATAAAACACTCTTTCTTAAACCGATTTCGAGTGATTTATATCAGCAGACAAATAATTAACAAAGATACTATACTTCAGCCAACGTTATTTCTTTTATTATTTTCAAATTTCTCAAAGATAATAATAAGAGAATTCTTAAAGAGAGATTCTTAAAGAAAATAATAAAAGAAATAATGTTGGCTGAAGTATAGTATCTCTGTTAATTATTTGTCTGCTGATATAAATCACTCGAAATCTTATATATCGTGTTTTATATTTACTCGTTTATTTTATCTAAAGATAATCTTATATTTTTAGAAATTTCACCAATCCCATTGTTTTATATTTTTATTGATCAAAAATTGAAGGAAATCCAAATAAAATAAAATAAGCCTTTAACTATCCAGCAATAAATAATGTTTAATAAAAAACCATTTAAAAAACGGTTGAAAACGTTTTTTATTAAACATTATTTATTTCTGGATAGTTAAAGGCTTATTTTATTTTATTTATATTATTCACTCCAGTATAAGTTCTTGTTTTTATTTATTTGAAGGAAATCCAACTTAGCTCTAGCTTTTCATAGTTTTATACCAATTTTCTATATTTCTGGCTGACAAAGCCATAGATTTGTAAGGAAAATACAGAGGAAACTCAACACAAAAGCTAGCTTTTTACTGAAAACACAAATAAAAAATAAAATGAAAATAGAGATTCCTCTCTGTTTTTGTTTTATCCTTTTATGTCTGCATTTTTTAATCTTTGTGTTCTGCCTCCAGTACCTCTGTGTTTTCATTACATAAATATTAAGTACTACTGAATATATCATATATTTATTTAAACATCAAGAGTATTTAGTAATTGTTTGATTTTAATTAAAAAGTATTATGTAAAATTCCTGAAACATTTTTTATGTACAGTACAAAATGCAAACAAAGTTTTGTGTTGATGAAATAAATAGCACTGAGGACACTGTCTTTGCATTATCTGTGTTCAGTAACAAAAAGAAATGCTCATGCAAGCACTTTTGTTATTTACGAAAACATCATCAGGCAAAACACAAAAAAAAAAAAAAAAA